TGTGTGTGTGTGTGCGTGCGTGCGTGCGTGCGTGCGTGCGTGCATGTACGTGTGTGTGTGTGTGTGGGTCTTGGTACGTGTACATACCCTTTAGTGCATCCATTAACATGGCTAACCCCCCCACCTCAGAGTGCTGTGATGTCAGCCCTGGCCCGGCCTGGACACAGGCTCAGCGTGACACCAAGATCAGTGCAGGAATCGGGGTCGTGTGTATACAGGGGTGGGGGGGGGTGGTGCTGCGCTGCGCTGCTGCTAGCTTGCTCTCTGTGGGCTCTTGCTTTCAGGAACCGACTCCAATTTCAGCTTAGTTTTTGCAGATCAATCTTTGGTTGGATTCGCTGCACGAAAACCATCAGGCCTGGGATGTATCATGTGTAGTTCATTTAGACGGGCGGTGCATAAGCCTGATGGGAGCAGCTCCAAACCCGCTTATCGGTCATCAGGGCCGAGCACAGTGGGCCACGGGTACTCTCTAAGGGCAGCGCCACACCAGTCCCGGCCAATCACAGCGGAAGGCCGCCCTGCCTGGCTCTCACTTCCCAGGCAGTAAATTACCCTGCGCTGTTCCTTCCACGGCCTCCCAAAGCCGCCTGTTAGTGCATCGCTTTGTCTGTCGTGGCGCGTAGCGACTCCGGGTCTCCAGTCTTTTCTGGAGGGTCTCATGCTCCCCTTTGCAGACTCTGCTGCTCTCAGAAACCAGCCCCCTGCCCTCATTCCCCGGATGCGGGGGGAGACTGAGCGTGTTGCTTCCTGTGCTTGTGGGGAACAACTTTATTCCACACCCAGTATTTACCATAAGGCTTTCCAAACTTCCTCTCAGGTCTTCTGGCCGCAATGGCCCCCCCAAGGGGCTTTCTGGAATCTTCCCCAGGAGATCTCACAGGGATGCTGGGTTCTCCTCACGAGGACAGGGACACGCTCAGCCTCCACCCTGTCCCTCTGTGACGTGGCACTCTGGGTTTGTGTGTCGTGTGAGACGTGGTACTAAGGTCGTTGCACTTTGTGGGATGCCGGCTGAGGCGGCAAGGTCCTGGCCATTGAAGGAGCCTTGTGTCATCTTCCAAAAAGACACATGCCACAAGGACCCTAATCTCAACAATGACGACCCTAACCCCTACCCAACCCTAACTTTAACCACAAGTAACCAAACAAAATACAAGACTTTTGGCAGTTTTACTTTTTGATTGCAGTTAGATTTTTATATGAGTTTCCTCTTATGAGGACTGTAAAAATGGTCCCCACAATATCAAAATAACAGGTTTTTATCACATTGAGAGAACCAAATGTCCGCACAATGTAATACATACATGCGCACACACACACACACACACACACACATATCCTGGCACCTTAGCGTCCAGTTCAGCCTTCTGTGGTTTGTTATTTTGCGGTTTTGTGAAGCTGCAGCTAGTTTGCACCAACAGAGACTCTGCGCACTGCGTGGGGGTCGTACCCTGTACCTTAGAGCCGCTCACGTATCTTTCAATTAAAGGTGCAGACTTGTGACATGAAGGTTACCTGGTCAGGCCCCTGCTGATGCCTGTAACGTTAAGCAAATTAGCGCAGTAAAACACACAGCTAATGAGATGCAAGTTGTTAAAGAGCATGTAGGAGTGGAACCTAATCTACAGTAGCTGGGTCATGGGAAACTTAGAAATTATAGAGAGAGTAAAAGCCACTTCTGTTTGGGTCAGCAGTGAGATGATGATGGTGACTGGTGATGATGAGCCTGCCATAATCATTGGATGGGTGATCGTAGTTGGGATGGGGGATACCAAGGCTGAAACGGTTTTAAGGTCATGCCCCCCACAGGGAGAGACAGGTAGTACGCCCAGTTGGTATGTGAGAGGCATGTGTAAGACCTGTGCTTTTATTCTGCGGTGCCGTGTTTGTTTGCGATCCCATGTTAGTGTTTCCCGTCGCCCACAGAGCCTTTTCTGGCATGGCTTATCCGCATCAGGCTTGGCCGGCCGCCTTCCCCAGCGGTGCTTTGTGGCACTTTTTAAAGCTCGGCCTGCTGCTTTAACACGGAGTGTCCGCCTCGTTCATGCAGACTGCACCGCGCCTCACAGCCTCGCTTATTCCTCCAGCGCCGATGGCTTTCCTATCCTTCCTCAAATAACTACATGACTAAATTCTCCACAGTGACTGTTCTTATGAAGATGTACTGAAGCCTCTGTAGCTCTTGGCTACATCCCTCCGTCTCCCCGACTTCCATGCTCCCTATTTTCCCGCTCTCCCCGACTTCCATGCTCCCTATTTTCCCACATTCCCCGACTTCCATGCTCACTATTTTCCCACGCTCCCCGACTTCCATGCTCACTATTTTCCCATGCTCCCCGACTTCCATGCTCACTATTTTCCCACGCTCCCTGACTTCCATGCTCACTATTTTCCCACGCTCCCTGACTTCCATGCTGACTATTTTCCCACGCTCCCTGTCCCATGCTCACTCTTTTCCCTCGCTCCCCGACTTCCATGCTCACTATTTTCCCACGCTCCCCGACTTTCCATGCTCACTATTTTCCCACGCTCCCCGACTTTCCATGCTCACTATTTTCCCACGCTCCCCGACTTTCCATGCTCCCTATTTTCTCACGCTCCCTGTCTTCCTGCTCACCCTGACTTCCTACTCTCCCCTTGCAGGTACCTCTATCTGCTCTTCTCAGAGGATGACCACTTGCCCTTCGAGCACTGGGTGTTCAACACCGAAGCCCACCCACTGCCCATCATCAGACGGGAGAAGACCGACAAGCCTAACCCGATGGAGTAACCCACCCCCCCCCCACCCCCTAAAAAATGAGCCAAGCCCGGAACTCCAACATTTCTGCCTTGCTACCCCCGCCTGCACCTAACTCCCTGTGGCCTCCACCTCCCCGCAGTGGCGCCGGACCCATGTCCACATTTTGCCACTCAGTGATTGGCTCACTTCACATCAGCCCTGCCATTTCTGCTTCCAATACAGAGGAACCTCCGCATTCTCACGAGTGCTCGCATCATCACCTTACTTCAGAGAACGCAGGCTGCATGCTGCCCCTATCACCATTGCACCGCCCCCCCCCCCCCCCCGCCTGCCCTCCCCTCCAGGGGGGGCACAATGGATAACCCTCCTCTGTGAGGAGAACTGGATGCTTTTTCGCTGTAAAGATTCACCGTCACAGAAAAGCCATACAGAAGTGAAGAGAAAGCTTTATCATATTCAGAGACGAAGCCCGTCTGTCAGTGTGTGCTCTGTCTTTGTTCTGCTCATGTAGATGTTACTGGGTCACTTAGAAAGGTCTTGCTTTGCTAAGGCAACATGGGGATCTGTTTTAATACCGATATTTAATGTTCAGCTGTTATATCCAGTCAGATTAAGATAGTGCCTTTAGTGTAAAATGGTGTGTAAAATAAGCAGTTATACAAATCATGAGCATTTTAATTTATTTCTGGCAGAGTTTATGTACGTGTAATCGATGCTTTTGAGTTTGTCGATGCCATCGCCTAGACCACACTACCATCTGCTGGTCACAGCCGCGTGGTTCCGTCGTCGAGTGGCGTGTATACAGACTCTAGGCATATTTGATCAATGTCTCCCCGTAAAAACGGATTGAGTGGACCTGTGTCAACTTCCCATTAAATTGACCAAACACATTTAAGACCTTTCTTTTATTTGGTCTTGGGTCTTGTACCTTTTTGTGTTTTTTTTTTTTTTTTCTTTTCTCTGTTTAGAGTAGCAGATAAATATCGCAGGGTTTGTGGAACAGGTGAATTTTGTGAATTGTTATATATTATTATTTTAAACCAAATGGCTTTTCTCGGCCCGGGGTTTCCCGCGGTGATCACCACGGAAACCACACAGCACTTGCTTGTTGCTGATGAGCGACTGAGTCCATCGGCGAACGAGTCCTATGAATGTACCATCAAATGTGAAGCTAATTTGCCCTCCATGCTTTACTTTTTGTCCTCCTTTTTTTCCTGGAAAGCACAAAGCGATGAAACGGCACGTCCGTGTAGATCTGCAAGGGAAGGAGAGGCCCCCCCCAAGGGCATAAAAGAAAAGATGCAAGAACATTGGAATATCTGGCATTCTCTATCCTGGTCTGGCATCTCCTGCTGGGCCGCTCAGCCCTTTTGCACTGGATAATGTACACATCATACTTATTATAATTATATCATTATTTAGTTTTAATTGGTTTTCTTTAATCCTCATGGGGGGGGTACACTGCGGCTCTGCTTTCCCAGGCGTGACGCGCACAGCCAGTCCTGGACCTCCTGTCGTCGGAAACGGATCCACGGCCCTTTTCCATCTCGGCCGTGTGGACCACGAGCCGCGCCCTGTTCATTGTAAGGCCTGACAGGAGGCCAGGCGTCCGTGGGGTTTACGGGAAATTCCGCAAGACTGAGCGTGCTCCAAAAGTTACAAAAGAATCAATAATAAACGCTAATGCCGAATAATTATTTGTTTGGACTGCAGAGCGTTTTTAACATGACATTAGTGTTGAGGTCCCTCACCTGCTACGCTATATTGATACATTAGGGGAGGAACCACAAGCGATTCGGACTGAGGGAAACAGACCCAGTGGTCGACCAGCCGATCTACCTTTGCTAATCCGTTAGCACCGGCGTTCCTGCGTTCAGGAGCTGTGACGTTTACTTTTGTGGAGGCAGATAGGCCTCAGCAGAATGAGGAGCTAGTTTTAAGTGTAATACTGGGGATTCTAAAAGTGTGACACGTACAATGGCCTGTCCTTTCCTTGCGTCCTTCCAGTCTGCAGACTAGAAGATCCGCGACGTGCTGATGATCTTGCGTTCCAATGCCTTTTACCCGTGACACTCTTGTCGTTGGATTTGTTGAGATAAGAAACCTCAAGAAGTGACTGTACTTTACTGTAGATAATCATTCCATTGCACATATTTTATTTTCAATTTTATGCAATTAATTTTATTGGGAGACTTCTGTTTGTTTTGTGGTTTTAAAATGTAAATATTCAGTACGGCAAGTATGCCATTCTCTACATTTATATAAATCTAAGAACTTATGGAATAAATGATTAATGAGCAGCAAAATTTTTAATAAATTATATTTGTTACACTTCTATTGGGAATAAAAACAAATTTCTATATGTCTTTAGTAGAGTTTTTATTCTTTGCTTTTCATGTCTTTGATACTTGAAACAATTGATTCTTCAGTGTTTTATTAACTGAAAAAGAAAATTGAGTTGGTGGATAAAGAGGAATCATATCTGCTGACAAACAAGTACAGCAAGTCCCAGGATGAAAGTTTAGCATTTTGAGATTTTGAGAACATCCAGAAGATAGCCAGCGTGTGAAAATCTGTCAGGTTGAAAGCAATAGTTTGTCACAGTAATCTCTTAAAGAAGAAAACACATTTTCTACGATGGAAAGAATAATTCCTTTAAAATCCAATTTAATCTCCCAGCCGCGTATGCCAACGTCAATGCCCTGAAGCGGTTTTTAAATTGGGACTTTTATAGAAAAGCCTTCCGCCACTTTAGGATGTACCATCTGATATTTTTGGGGGTGGGAACCAAAATGTGAAGCACCAGTGACGAAACTGCTCCCTTTGAAGCGAGTCGAGTCGGTAAACCGGAAAACACATTTAGATGAATTAAAAAGGACACCTCTATTTAATCGGATAACTTCAGGCAATGACCTGGGGTGGCTGATGAAACTCAATTTTGGAGTCTCTCTGCAGTGTAGTCTGTGGGCCTTGAAAATTGAATCATATTTGTGTGACACTACATATTTAATAAATAATACAGTGTGTAGTCTTCACTGGATTTGGTGCATCTGTTTCACGGTACTTGTGATGGGCTCCTTCAAACAGTCTCCATAGTTGCAAGCTAAGAATAATATCAAAATCAGTCATCTGGTTTCTGCTCTAGTCTAGAGAAATTTTCCAGATAAATTATGTACGTAGTTCATTTTCCAAATCAAACCTTTACCTGTAAGTGAAACAGAACTGACTACATTTTAAAAGCTTAACTGTATTTTGATATTTAAGCAGTGGTGCTGTTTAATGACACTGAAACCAAGCATTTGTGAAGGGGCCCTGAGGTTTGGGAGCCTCCTATTGGCCACAAATAGCCACTATACTAAATATTATATGAATGGGTTATGTGCACGGATGAAGCTGTCGTATCCTATCAGTGCCACAAAAACAAAGAAAGTCAAAGTGGTTCAAAAAAGAAATTATGCGTGTCTGTTCTTGCACCTAATCTGAATTTCTTCCACTAATAACCAGAACTGTTTGTCGATGATGTAAATAATAATCACATAATCAAATTCACATAAGCCTGTCTTTAGGTATGGCCAGGAGTGGGTTCACGAGGGGGGGGGGGGGGGGCTATCCTAGGCTGTAGTCTGTAGGGCCCGGACAAACATCACCCTGCTTCTGGAAACGCCAAAGCCCCAGTTAACTCCACAAGGCCTGATTGTGCGCAGTTTCTGTCAACCCTGATCTACAACAGTTAGGACTCAAAAAATGAAACCAAAGACATTAGGCACTGTAGACATCAAAGACACTGATTTAGAAAAATCTATCCATCAGTGGGATCAATGTACCTCATATTTCCTGGTTTAACAGGTGTAACGTCACCACACTATGGAAAAGTAATTCCTAAAAGAGACTGATGTCTGGTAGTTGGTCTCCTCACATCTCTTCAATGAATGATTGTGCCCTTACTGGGAATATGGGGAAGCAACAGCTGGAATTCCGCAAGCCATTGAGCACAAGATGCTAAACCTTTTATCCTATTTGGCCTTAGACTGTGGGGCAAATTAGCCGTTTTGCAGCAGAGGACATACGAAATAGGTACGTCCACACATTTCACAGGTATAAACAACATGCATTACAGCCTGTAATGCTTCCGGAGCCTAAACCAATTAAGCTTAAATCCACTCCCTATTACCACACTGGAAGGGAAACAAAACACTGCTATTGATTCCAAAAATGTTCCTATTAATAACTGAAATGAGGTTGAGTAAAAAGGGTTCCTGTGCAGTTAAGCTGAAAGCTCTCACAATGGGCATCGCCATTTCAGGCGCCGTGCAATCACACGACAGGAAAAATACTAAATTTGATGGAACCACCCAATTCTAGCTGACTGCAATAAATTATATGGGGAAAAATACCTACCGAGTGAACACATTTTGGACATTAAACCCAGCAGATTTTAATCAACACGGTTGACCGCAGAGGTAACGCTGACATTTCAAGAGATGGAAATTTTGCTGCGTTTTTTTTTTTCCCTCTTAATGTGAATATCACGTCCTGATTCCTCGGAATGTATTTAATCTACCATAAGTAGTACAAACACAGCGTATCTAGTTATGCTTTATTTAGCTGTTCCATCCATCTTCCACACGGGGTCGCAGTGCGTCTGGACTAGGCTACAGCCCAATTTGGTGCTCACTGCTCAGCCCAGCCTTCTCAAGAAGTGATAAAAAAACAGCTTTATAAATAACTGCAAGTATAGCAATACATTATTCCAATTTTCAAACTCATCACTGTTAAATATATTATTTATTATGCTAATTTTAAGTAATTTCATATACAATTTATTATTCAGAAAGCTTAATTAAGTAGCTTACTTATACTGACAAAACTATTCACATAAAAAATTGCCGACCACATTTGAGCTGCTTCATGGGCAGCACAACAAACTAGTTTCCACGACTGCAGGACGCTGTTAATGATAATCTGGATTTAAGTTACGTATAGGCCTAAATGTATTCCAGTTTAAGTGTTATAGAGAATAGAAAATGCCTACTATTTAACTGGTAATTTAAGATAACTGCATCTATAGCAAATTTCCAAAAATAATTACGTGTTGCACACTTGAGAAATTATACTGAGTAATAACATTAATAACATCGTGTGATCCATTCAGTCAATAGCTAAATCAAAGCGAAAGTTTAATTAAGAGCTCAACCAAAATTAAAACGGCGCCGTACGGGGGATGGAATTTGACGCATGAGTAAGTTTCAAGCTAAAATTGTCTATTTTGCTACTGTTTGTGAAAAATGCGCATGACACAAGTAAAACAGTTTAAAACGTTCATGCGTCCTGTTTTCCTGGTTTTAGATTTGCCGCATTCTTCGCCGGTGAATTGATGTTAAGCGAGTGTTACTTTGGCAATTACAAAATTTCACCTGTGAAGATTTGTGTTAGTGTACAGACGTACAATTAGAAAATTCTCCAAGCTCGGTCAACAAAAAGTATCTCTTTTTAAAATGTGAAACCTTGTAATTATTTATTATTGTTTTTCCCAATGGGTAATAACGCCCACGATTTCACATATGACTGTGCCTGCTGACGTAAACATGACATTAGCGACTTTTATAAGTGTATTAGAGGCGCACTGGCTCTGTACCTCGTATCTCATAGCTGGGAATGTAATCACTGTCCACGATATGCTGGTATGTAGGTCTGTGCAATTCTGCCATATGAACCGAAATCCCCTCCAGTGACATGCAGTCAGATTAATTGGTTTATCTCTAAATTATGCATTATGCTGCCTGTGTTTTAGGCTCCAAGATGAATGGATGTGTGCAGAGGACCTTAAATATACAAACATGCCACACGATGGCAGTACGACACCAGTTCGCGCCTGCAGGCAGCTGATGCTCTTCGGTTATTTTGTGCGCTTCTTTGGATGCCGTTGTTTTAAAATATTACGACGCCGCACCGTCGATCTTAATGGCGCGTGGCCGTGTGGTCCGTTAGCCTGCTGCTTAAGCGCATCCAAAGATCCAAAAAATCCAAAATCCAAAGAATGTCGGGTTCAGAAATTACAACCTGAAATTACAACTTGAAATTACAAATCAATGACACTGTTGCTCAGAAAAAAAATCAGATGGCTGAAACGTTTTCTCCTGCTGAATGAGGATACTGGGCATCATCAGTATGGCTGATCCGGCTTATCCAGGGGACCGACTCCCCCGTCGTGGCCCCCTTACCCACTTCTTGAGGTTAAAAGCTAAATGAAGACACATTTAGGCACAGACCGTAGCAGACTGGTCATTTTGTGGTCATTTTCGTTCCTATTTCTAAAACATGTTGTGATGTCCCCTTCATTATACATTTTCTCACACAAGCACAAGTATATAGGCTCTCATATATTAATGGAAAGCAAAACGGCTGGACGAACGTGACATGTTATGCTATAGAAATCTTTCTAGGATATATAATCCTGTTTCACGGTGATTGCAATTCAGCCTCGTTACATAACATGATTTGGACATCTCTGGATTTGCATGAATGCATGCCCCATTTTTACTGTGTCTCCAGTGTACCTATTTAGTATGTCCTGGTTTTAAAAACTCATAGACCAAAAAAGACACAGGTAAACTAAACTTTTATCATTTCATTCACATTTCCCGTTTAAATCACTTCTCGCATCAGCGACAGACATGAGTGAGCTTTGATCTGTCAATGTCACAAGTCAGCCTTCGGCAAGGGAACCTCAAAGGCATAAGACAAACTGATTTCTTCTGTTACACCAAGTAAAATTATAACATTAGAAGCAACCTTTTATTCCTGATTTTACAGATGGTCGATCTTGCACGACAGTAAATTAAAATATTCCGAAACCAGGCCGTTTGGTGCCATTTGAACGGGCCTTTTAAATATTGTTGTCATTATTGAACACAGTAGCTACAGGAAATAATAACTGCATTAATATTTCAGCTGTCATGGGGAATGTGCACGGTAGAATAATTCTCCGATTAAATGTTCAATGGAGGTCGGATACGATTAAAGATTAGATTGTAAATATTTGGTTATGTCAGTCATATTTGGAATTGTGTTGCTAAGTTATGAAATCATGAAAGTAATTATAATACTTTCTGTTTATCGGATTTCTGTGAAGACTATTGTGATAAGATTGGAGACTGGATGCCATATGAAAATCAGACGTGACGTTTCCTTAAATGACTTTTATTGGAAGCTGGATTTCCAGGAGTAAAAGTTGAAAAGGTTGCTCTTCCGCTCTGCTCACTTCATTTGGAAACACCCTTGTCAATGTTCGGGGGGGGGGGTGGGGGCGGGATCCGTCCGCAGACTTGCGACCCTCTCAGCCAGTAGATGGCGGTCTGCTTC